TAAAGTAGATAAATAATATAAGAAGGGGGATGTTTGTGTTGATACTTGATGGCAACAACAAAGCTAACTTATAAATTACAAATACATTTTACTGGCATAATAATTTTTGTACGATTAAAATCTCACGGTGAACACATTTGTTGAATTTATTACAATTATTATTTACTGATTTTGATATTTCATCATTAACTTCATCACTTACAATCTTCATTACTTAAAAAGGTGGGCAAGTGGGTGTCGCTCTGCTGTACAGTAGGTTACAAGTGGGTCACTGTATAATGGATGATATTAAATTTGAATTCAACGATATAATATCATTGTATAAGAAAAACGATTCTGAGCGCAGACGGTATGTCAGTCTATGTATAAGACATATTATATACATATCTATGGTATTAAACAAAAAATTGACCTATAATGGGTACCTATAATAAATTCCAAATTAATCATATCAAAATATCCATTAGGTACTTATAACGCGTTATACATCAACAAAAACCGTGATACTATCATAGATATATAAAAGTACACTTTAGAAGTTTCAAGTATCCACGAATAATATTATTCAATCACAACAAAATAACTAAAATAGTTATTCTAGGTTTTTTAATATGAAATTTCGTCCAAATTTGAATTTAAAATGTCTGTAAAAAATAACTGTGTTCATATATTTTTTAGATTTTTTGGTTACAGTATGAACTATTTACGAGAACCTTTGTGTTGAATTTGCAATCCTTAGCTATAAAAACTGAACATTTTATAATTTATTAATTACAATGATTGATAATTTTCGAGATTTTGATAAATTTTGTCAAAATTTGATCTTTAAATGCTTATAAAAAAAAACTGTGCCTATGTATTTTTAATATTTTTCAACTGATATTATAACAATATATCAGGAGCCTTGTATTAAATTTTTACACTTTTTGGCCCAACAGATAAAACTTTATTGATATTTATAGAAAAAAAAACTAAAAAAAATTGAAAGCTGTAAATGTCCATAAACAGCTCAAAAAGAGTCAAAATATTTTCAAAATTGTATGGTGTATAGAAAATGCTAATTTAAACATTCAGTGAAATTTTCATGTATCTACAGTTATTTGTTTTTGAATTACAACAAAATAAGGAAATCGCTACATGGGAAATCGAGTGAATATTCAATGTTGTAAAAATTTGAATTTCAAACGCTCATAAAAATTTAATTTGACTTTCTTATAAACATTTTTCTTTTGATAAAGGTAGACAAACTTATAAGGAATCTTGTGTTTAATTTTCAAATCTTAGATTTAAAAAGAAAAATTTTTACGAATTCTTAACTCAAAATAATTTGCTAATTTTCGTGATTTTCCCATATTTTGTCAATTTTTGAACTTTAAATGCTTATAAAAAAAAATTGTGACTAAGGATTTTTAATATTTTTCATCTGCCTTTGAAGCAATATATTAGGAGCCTTCTATTAAATTTTCAAGCTTTCGCAACCAACAAATAAAATTTTATTGATATTTTTAGAAAAAAAACTAAAAAAAAATGGAAAATGAAAATGTCCCTAAACAGTTCAAAATAAATCAAAATATTTTGAAAATGTTATCGTGTATAGAAAATGCAAATATAAACAACCAGTGAAAATTTCATGTATATACGTTCATTTGTTTCAGAGTTACACCAAAAACCAAAATCGATTTTTTGGAAAACCAATTTTGCGTAAAAATTCCCGTTTTTCCTTAATTTTTATGTTGTTTTTCCCGGCGCTTGTGAAAACTACTGGGAAATTTATACTTTTGACCCCCCAAAGTACCAACTAGATTCACTTTCCTATCAGAAAAGCTACTGATGAAGAAAATCCAAGCACTTTTACTGTCCTAAAACGTGATGACAGACACAAAAATAAAAAAATAAAAAAAAAAATAAAAAAAAAATAAAAAAAAATAAAAAAAAAATAAAAAAACACACATCATTGTAAAATCAATACATTCATCGTTTCACTCAGAATCTAAAATAACTTTTTTCTGAATCACAACATATATAATATTTAGGTATTTGTGGAATACATTTTTCATATTGATTGGAAAATTGTTTCAATTCTGTTGTGATTACTTGATGATTTAACCCAGACAAACAAAGAAAAATAAAATAAAAATTATATTTCTATTAAAGAATTTCAATTTTGAAAACCAAATCCATTAGCTATAAGAATAATATTATTCAGGTAAACTTTTAAAAGTAAATGTCTAATCTTCATCATTATTATACATTTATATGCATAACATAGGTATATAGGTGTATAGTATTGTACATCATAAGTATTTTTGTATACAATATTTGCATGACTGCAGAAATCTAACAGCGGGACCCCTGCAGGGTTGAGCAAGCAGGGCCGTTGTGGCCTCGTCCGATCCCATTGTTTTTAAGACGGGAGATAAAACACAACTTAACCTGCAGTAGCGCAATTAATCCAAAAAAACTTCTTCCTACTTGTTACTTGACACTTGCACAATTATGTCCTGATCAGGGGCGTACTCAAGGGGGGGTTCGTGGGGTTTGAACCCCTCCCATGACCTTACTAACCGATGCACTTTTGTGCGTTCTTGTTTATACATAATATAATTCACAGGAGCAATTTTCTAAAAAAAAATTTTTAAGAAGGGAAAAAATAAACAAATATATTTATTTTCAATTTTATATCAACATGCATTATACAACGATTACAAGCATTATCTGTTAAGAACTGTATTATGATAACCAGATAAAATTTAAATCAAACATACAAGGTGTATTGATAAGTTGTCGTCACTCTGGACCCCTATACTCTTGATTGAAAATATTACCACAGTTCTATAGTCACCAGAGCGCGCTTCTTGTCCTACGAAGGCCTGTATATTCATTCTGTTAAATGCAAAATGTCTTAAAACTTCAGAATTAAAATGCTAATATTTTTTAAAATTGAAGTCAGTATTTACAAAAACATTGAATCATAAAAAGTTTTTTTTTTTAATTGAGTTGGTATAATAAATTTGGAGCCTGTAATTATACATTACATTTGCATTTTATTCATTAGCAATATTTTTATCGAGTAGACATCAATTAGAAAAAAATATTATGTATAATTTAGTCACTTCTTTGGATATTTGCATCCTTCTTAAAATCTTTAAATTAAATTAAAACTATTATGATTCTACTCCTAATTCTAATAGTAGTCTGGTAGAGTGGAGTATTATTTTCTAGTGCTCATAAAAAACTAAAAACATGTTTAAAATATTTTGCATATTTTATTTTATGATTAGGTATATTATTTATATTATAATATTATTCAATAATAGTTATCTTATAAACTTCAAACTAATTTTGAAAAATTGTTTAGTTTTTTTGGTGTTTTCTTGTTTTTAGCACCTTGCTCATTTTTTTCTTTTGTAAGTGAATATCATTCTTGTTTTGACATAATGCGTTATGATATATTTGGTTAATATTTGACTGTGTATTGAGCAACCAACCTTTGTCAAAAAATTTGTTTATATATTTCTTCAATAAATATAAATTTAAAATTATGTTAGAAAAATAAACAGTGAAAAATGTATATGTAGTTTTCAAATTGAAATGCAACATTAAAAACATGATCTTTTACCGGGACAGCTAGTTATATTTATTATATTTAGATATTTTACACTATAATCTAGTACAGTATTTCTCAATTTTTTTTGTCGTGAGGCTCCCTAAATTTAATGTAAAACTGTCAAGGCCCCCTTAATCAAAATTATTAATTGTTTTTTCTAAATTAGGTATATACTAAAATTACTTGTACTATTTCACACAGATTAATTATTAAAATGTATAGTAATTTAATATACTTTTGAAAAATATTAATGATAGTATTAAAATTTAAGTATTTATTCTTTTTCCATAAACGCTTAAAGTCAAAAAATAAAAATAAAAATAAAATAATAACATTTTTTACTAGTGTGCCTGGAAGTTCTAAGTAAATTGAACCCTACAATAATCTTAAAAGAAAACATGAACACGTTAATCAATCGGAATCAGAATATTGTTCTTTAAATAAACATTTTTCATTTTTGAAATTTATTTTCTGTAGAGTAGGTACATTACCATGTTTATATTTAGTATTTGTAAAAAGGAGGTGACAAAGTCCCCGTGATAAAAAACAAAATGTTCAACCCCCCCCATTGAAAATTCCTGAGTACGCCCCTGGTCCTGATAACACTATAATAAGCAAGCATCTTATTATTGATCCAATTTCTAAGACCTTGAAAATGTTGTTTACTCCAATTTTCCTTTAAAAATTCTCAGGACTGCCCTGGGCCCTATAAAGAAAATTTGAGCCTAAAAACTACATATGGTTAAATATTTCAATAAATACAGTATGGGATCCCTAGTCCCAGCTTATATAGAACAGAAACACACTAAGCAAATAAAAAATGTACTAGACTTTAAACAAAAAGAAATGGAAGGGCCCTGGCCAAACTGAAAAAAAAACGCTCGCTTACAAACACATTCCATTGCAATTGCATTTTTATCTCAATAGCCTTCTTACATAATTTTATACTCACTAGTTAGTATCTTAGGTTGCTACTTGCTATCATATGCATAAAAACCAATTTTTTTGAAAGATGAAAATGACTAGGTAAATAATTAATACATATGTAGATGGATTATGGTCTATGGATACCTAAATATATTACCTATAAGCTACTATATGAAGGCCCAAAACTTGCCCATACCCGGCCCCTTCCCAAATGACACCACTAACTTAAGAGTTATTACTTAGGAGTTAGGAGTTAGGAGTTAGAATAATAAGGTCGTCTGTCATACAGTGATACACAGTAATCAGTATACATTTATTATTTTAAAAGTTGACAAATTATTTTCTCCTATTATCGCTTACCGGATTTTGGGAGTTTCTACCCCATCCCTTTAATAGGAAATATTTTAATAATTAGAGCATTGCAAATAATAATAATTGAGTGGTAATAAATTGTTGTTGCCAGCAGACGGCGATTGTGGTGATGGCCCGGCGAGTTGCGAGGGCTGTGGTACGAAGATCGTGGACAGGTTCTTAATGCTAGTGGGTACAAGCAGCTGGCATGAGCAGTGCGTCACATGTTCCGCGTGCGGCGTCCCACTGGCCAAGTCGTGCTACTACCGGCACAATGGATTGTACTGCAAAAACGATTATGACAGGTAACTTGGATCCATCGGTCGTGATAACATATTATCACAATATTATGCACTATATTATGTTATAAATTACATACAAGGTGTATTGACAGTTAATACACCTTGATGATATACTATTATACAATCATAATATTATACACCGTCTGCCGCTGCATGTTGGTAGTAACTATAGTATGTACTTATTTTTGATATATTTGGTATATTATAGGTATAATATTACCTGTTATTATGTTTCAACCTAACGGCAAATAGATTCCGATTTGTAATGCACACACAACCACACACGTGCGTGTAGCAAGGGCGTACCCACGAATTTTTCGAGGGGAAGGGGGGTCCAAATGTTTTTAACATGTAAAAAGTATACAATCAGTGGTTTGTACTTTAAGAATTTTAAATTATTTCAATAAGTGGGGGGGGGGGGAAGGTCCAGTCCAATCTTGCGTTATCTAATTGTTAGCTTCAATAAAGCGAATTGCGGCTATTATATCAAACATAAATTGTTGGACAGATAGGTAATGATCTGTGCATTGGCGTGTCCAGGAACTTCTAATGGTGGGGGGGGGGATTATAAGTAATAAATAATAATATATTTGAATTAATTGTGGGGGTAGTACAAAGACACAAATAAGGGGAATTATGGATCAATGGGGGGATTCAACCATTAACCTCTCCCTTCCCTGAGAACGCCACTGGATCTGTGTACCTACACTTTTTTACTATGCATCATTATTAATATGTATCTACAGGTGTCAGGCACTTCGTAAAGATTTTATGTGTGTGAGTAACGTGTTTATCGTCTGTTTCAGACTATTCGGCGTCAAATGCGGTCGGTGTGGCGAGCCTTTGGGAGCCAGAGAGCTTGTAATGCGCGCTGGGCCCAGTCACGTTTATCACGTGGGATGTTTCGCTTGCGTGGCTTGCATGCAACCGTTACAGAAAGGCCAGCAGTACGTGGTCAAAGCCGGTGGCGGACAACTATTCTGCCGCACAGACTTCGAAAAGGAAATATTTCTAATGCAACAGACCGTTGGAAGTCCACAACCAGGTACCTACCTATAATAATATAACTGGGACTTGGTATGGCTCGTTGGTGGGCCTCAGTCACTAACGCGTTCTGAGGTCAAGCATCAGCCGGTGGCGCTAGTTGCGGATGGGTGACCTCCCAAGTTTTTAGTGACGAATCCTCACCCCACATACACGTGTTCCTCAACCAACTGTAACCCCCATACAAAATGCTAATATAGCCATAGTTTCCGATGCTTTAAGTCAATAAAAAAATAATAATAATAATATAACTATAGCTATAGGTACATGTAAACCGATAAACTATTTTGTACATATAGCGAGTATCGACATATTTGTCCTTACATAGAGAGGTGTGATATACTTAATAATATGTATATATATGTCCGCGTGCTATAGTATTATATATTATACTATACTATTAGTTATTATTCTTACATTATCATACTTAACATCCAATATGTAATTTAAATAATTACATTTTTATTTTGAGCTAAGGGAAGTCGAAAATTATTATAAACATATTATTACAGTTTATAACAATATACATTTTTATTTGCTGCTCTTCGTTACTTTTTAAAATATATTCATTAAAAAGTCATTGATGGGGACAAATAGTGGTGGGTCCAGGGGGGGTTGGGGGTTATATTCCACGGCACCATACATTAGTGCATTACATATTTAATTATACATTTGTACAAAGTAAATAATAATGTATAAAATATTTTGCTGTTTAATCGAAAGTTCATCGTTGTTTTTGTTCAGACGATAGTCTAACTTTAGACGAGAACTGTAGACCTCGAGACGGCCGCCGTGGACCGAAAAGACCCAGAACCATATTAACCTCAGTACAACGACGGCAGTTCAAAGCTTCATTCGAAGTCAGTCCAAAACCTTGTAGAAAGGTAAGTTTGTGTCTTTATAATGTAGAGTACAGTATTGAGATAATTATATAGACGCATATTATGATAATATATGATATATTATAGGTATTATGCATATCTTATACAAGTATCACAACCTATAATTTTTGATTATTTCATTACTGGATGGTAACAGTCTTAAATTCAGTTTAAGTCAAACTGTAAACTGTTATGATATATGTTTACTTATTCTGCTTAACACTGTATATATATTAGATTATAATAATATATGAGTTGAAAAAAATTATTCATTTATAATATATACATAACTACGATATTATATTCAATGTAATTTATGTTCAGGTACGAGAAGCGTTGGCTAAAGACACGGGATTAAGTGTACGAGTAGTGCAAGTATGGTTTCAAAATCAGAGAGCAAAAATGAAGAAAATCCAAAGAAAGAGTAAACAGGACGATAAAAATACGAACAATAATAATGCGAACAATACGGATAAAAATGAAACTGAGCACGCAACGAATACCACATCTAGCGTATGTTCTGGAGGTAGTACACATCATATTACATTATATATTTGTATAGCATAATATTGGACATTGATAATTGATATTGAATCATATTTTAATCAATTACTGACATGGTGAAAAATTAGTTTTATATTTTGGTTTTACATATTTATAAATTAGATAATAATAACACCGTTCGTGATTATTTAGGTATGTAAAATATTTCCAGTCACTTATGTAAGTTATATCCGAATACTAATATGGGTACATACACAGCTTAATATATAAATCATAATACCTATATGATTTATTTAAAAGAAGAATTTGAAAGCCTTATACTCGCAACTTAGTACCTACTTACTACTTACTAGTGTAGTTTGTTATGATAGCCGATAGGTATCCAAATGATTATTATATACATGGGTGGATAGGCCATTTTTGGCCTACCAGGAAATTATAAAAGGGGCCGGCCCCCACATGAAAAAAATATTATATACATATAAATATATAATAAATCAAGTAGGGTCCTATAATTTATACTTTATAAATTATGATTCTAAATATTTTATAATATTATATTACCCGAAATCATCAATATAGTTCAATACTGGTAGGTAGTAGGTACGCACTACGCACCTTAAGGGGCCTTGCTACTGCCTTCAATTTTAGCTGAAAACACCTAAAGTGTTGACAAAATTAAAGTTAGTTGACGTTGTCCGATTTTGATTCTGAAAAAAAATTTGAACTCAACAGAAAATTGTCTATAGATCCTACGAAGCACTTTATAAAAACTAAATTTTATATTATTGTGAACTGTAATTGAAAACTTAAAAATATCAACTTTTTCGAATCATCGTTAAAACTAAAATTAATATTAAAAACAGAAAATGTTTCCTACGATCTACAGACATTTTTCTGCTGAATTCAAATATTTTTTCAGAATCAAAATCAGAAAACGTTAACTAACTTTAATTTTGTCAAAACAAATGTATGTTTTTGTAAAATTTGTGTAGTGAAATTGATATGGTTATCGAGTTATTGACATGTGCATGCGCGTACGAGTGAGGATACCCACATATCATTTAACTCACACTAATAATCATTTACAACAAACACATAGATCCCGGTCGGGTATGACAAGATTAGAAATTGCCTAATGTTGACCCTTAAATAATGATAGTAGCGAGGCCCCTTAATTAATATTTCAGCTAACGCTAAGTATATATATATATATATATATATAGGTTCATATGTACAACCATCGAGTAGATAGTAATACAATTATATAGCATACTAACACATAGGTACCTAATAAATCCCATGGTAAAAAAGTAAAAACTGTATTATTAGGTAAACTTAAGTCTAAACGTGCGTCTGTTTTTGTCTGTAGATCATTATTTGAGCTTGAGTACGTTGAGCATGCACGACAGCAGTGACTCGAACTATCAGAACAGCCAGCCGCTGAACCCCAACATACCGTACTCGCCCGAAGGTAAATAATCGCGTGATAATATTGAGAACGATGTGAACCATTTATTCGTGAAAGGCTACGTCATATTCGTCATAATATTCCGAGGTTGTAAATTAAACTACAATAGAGCTGGTTACAAAATGTCTTAAATCATGTTGATCTGAAATTCGAATTAACATTCAGTATAATAATATTATAAATTATTAAATAGTATTTTAATTGTACACAGCATAAAAAAGTTTGTTATTCTTATGACTTTTCAGACTTATCTGTAGACTGTAGGTACCCTTTTATTACAAAAAAAAAAAAAAATAATAATAATAATAACCAATCCTATTGTGTGTGCTTATATAACACACAATAATATCATAATATCTAACATGATATTATAATTGTCGGATGATGCAGGTACGTACACCGGCGACCATTCGGTGGACAGTTTCTGCAGTTCGGACGTGTCCCTGGACGGCAGCACCACGGCGGCGGACGAGATCGGCTCCGATACCATGTCACTAGACCTGTCCGTCCACCATGGGACCCATAACCAAAACGTACACCACCAAAATCATCACCATCATCACCATCACCATCACGTCGGTGGGGCCGCGTCCGTGGTGCCGGGCCAGCAGATCAACCCGATCGACAAACTGTATCTGATGCAAAACTCCTACTTCAACAGCAACGACCATTAAACAATATTATAATAATAAATAATATACCTACACACAACACACCCACTCATATTATAGTATAAGTATGTTATACATAATTATTATTGTTGTATTTTGTAATTATCTCGTATATCATACAAAGGCGGTTGCTGAATTATTGGACTTCCGACTTGATCGATAAGTTAGGGTCCTCCCCTGGTCCTTCTAGCGCCCGCCATCACTGTCGGATAATTCATATTACATAAATTATATAATATATATACTTATTACCTGATAGCTGATATTAGTATATTATTTTTAGTGTCTTCACATTCACAATACCCATATTGTAATAAATTATTCTTCTATAATGTCTACCTACCTATAACTTATAAGTTGTAATATTATCATACATTGGTACCTACCTGGCTACCTATATATTGTTCTGTCTATTATACCTACTGTTCTATTGCAGGGTGTTACAGAAAGAACTTACAAATATAATTGATAAAATAACTACATATTTAATAAATTTTCTTCTAATCTGAATTTAAAATAATATATATACATACCTATACAGGTATATTATAATCATTATAATTAATAATAATTGTATTTATCATAGAGTAAATCTATGGCATTTACTAACGGTTTTTTTCTAAATTTTGTTAAGAACAAAAGTTATGGTGGCTAGTTCATTAGTTACAAATTACATTCTGTCAGTTATTCCTGTTGCACCTTGCATAATATTATTATCATATACTATGTATATTGTATTGTAAACATTGTTATATTGTAGTACCTATTATATTGTCTTATTTGAGTTCATTATGAAAGACTGTCATATGCAATTTTAAAGAAGCTCTTTATCATTGTTTACTATGCCTGCAGAGTTGAGTTATTATTGCTTAAAGTCTAAGAAATTATAAGTGTGTTGTAATTTCTATATAATATGATTATTATTGAATATATGCCTAGATATAATATGTAATCTGTATATATAATATAATATATGTGTAAAATGTATATTATTTAGTTATAATATTATACTTTCATACTGTTATCAATGTTATTTGGATTTTGTCGCATTATTTAATTTGAAAATTAGATGATTAGGTAGGTAGGTACCTACCTACTTAAATTATAGTAATGTAATTTCACTGTAGTTAACCAAAAAATATCCTTAAATTAATATTTGTGTTAGGTAACTTTTTATAATACCTATATATATATATATAGGTATATATATGTATATGTACACGCACAAGCTATACTAATCAATAATAACGTGGTATTTATTTTGGTTAAATGAATAATATACATTTGAAATTCTTGTGAAATTAATTTTATGTTTACTACTATTTATATGTATGTAATCTTGTAAACTTATTTAGTGCACTTAAATCGAAAAATCGGACAAAGTTCAGGTAGTTAATTAATTATGTGAAAATACAGTGTAAACGATTAATGAAATCGTAAATAAAAAATGCTAATCGGAGTATAATACTAAATATACATTGTTGTCGTTTGTGCTATGCTATAATAATATTAAAAGATATCAATAAGTTTTCACAGAAAATGTAATTAAGTGACATATCATTATGCCAATACAAGTTCTCTAAACCCTTAGGCCTGTACAACAAATTATAAAATAGATATCTGATGGCAAATATGAGCTTCCAAAACTCATATGAATTCCTAGATTATACCTATTGTATGGGATATTGTAAAACTGCAGTCAATTCTTGTTGACATTTAGAACATTAAACAACACCTGCCGGCCAGCTTTAGAATTAAGATTGTTTTTAAATCTTTGACAAAGTATCAAATTATACAAAATTGAGTTTCAAAAATTATGAAGATTGGAGATCAAAAAATTATAAACATAATTGACAACAGAAATTAATAAAGTTGAATAATAAGCAAAATATGAAAGCCATAATCATAAATGCATACACACCATACAGTATTCATCTCAATGCGTATAGAGAAATACTTACAAACGGGATTGATCATTATTATGGTACCAATCCTATAGGTTGGCCTATATAATATATACCCAATAACTAATAACTTATTTATATTCATAGATACCTATTTTCATATTTTGCATAGGTAGGTAGGTATATTGAAAGAAATAAAGGTGCTCTGCTGTACAGTAGGTTACAAGTGGGTCACTGTATAATGAATGGTATTAAATTTGAATTCAATGATATAATATCATTGTATAAGAGAAACGATTCTGAGCGGAGACGGTATACCATAAATGTCAGTTTAGGTATAAGACATATTATATACTTATCTATGGTATTAAAAAAAAATTGACCTATAATAGATACCTACCTATAATAAATTCCAAATTAATCATATCACAATATCCATTAGGTACTTACGTCTTATACCTACATCAATAACAAACCTTGATACCATCATAGATATATAGTAGTATACTTTAGAAGTTTCAAGTACCCACGAATAATATATAAACTATATAAACTGTGCTTATGTATTTTTTAGATTTTTCAACTGCTATTGTAACAATATATCAGGAGACTTGTGTTAAATTTTTACACTTTTTGGCCCAACAGATAAAACTTTATTGTTATTTATAGAAAAAAAACTAAAATAATTGAAATATTAAATTGTCTGTTAACAGCTCAAAACAAGTCAAAATATTTTGAAAATGTTATAAAATATAAGAATTAATAAAATAGACATTCATTGAAATTTTTATGTATCTACAGTTATTCGTATTTGAATCACAACAAAATAAGAAAATCGCTACATGAGAAATCGAGTGCTTATCCAATGTTGTAAAAATTTGATTTCAAACGCTCTTAAAAATTTAATTTGACTTTCTTATAGACATTTTTTTTTTGATAAAGGTAGATAATCTTGTAAGGAATCTTGTATTAGATTTAAAAATCTTAAGAATAAAAACAAAACATTTTATGAATTCTTAACACAAAATAATTTGCTAATATTCGTGATTTACATATTCTGTCAATATTTGAACTTTAAATGCTTATTGAAAAAAACTGTGAATAAGGATTTTCAATATTTTTCAAATGTCAATGTAACAATATAGTAGAAGCCTTGTATTAAATTTTCAAGTATTTTTACTCAACAAATACATTTTTATTGATATTCTTAAAAAAAAAATCTAATAAAATTGGAAACTTAAAATGTCCCTAAACAGTTCAAAATATTTTGAAAATTTTATCGTGTGTAGAAAATGAAAATATAAACAACCAGTGAAAATGTCATGTATCTAAGATCATTTGTTTTAAAGTTACACCAAAAGCCAAAATCGATTTTGTCAAAAACCGACTTTGCGTAAAAATTCCTGTTTTTCCTTAATTTTTTTCAGAGCGCTTTTGAAAACTATTGGGCATTTTAAATCTTGACCTTCCAAAAGTACCAACTAGATTCACTTTCCCATCGAACAACATACTGAAGTTGAAAATCGAAGCATTATTTCAACTACTAATAGTGTACCCACAAAAAAAAAAAAAAACACACATCATTGTAAAATCAATACATTCATCGTTCTACTCAGAATCTAAATATATTTAAGAAGGCCCAAAATTCAATGACTTTTTTTAAATGTCATATGGTTGATGTTTTGCTAGCTAGTTGTATTTCAATAACATTTGAAACTAAATACGTAACTATTTTGGTTTTTTAGGTCATTTTAGATTCTGACAAAGCGATGAGAGATGTGAAATTTTTCAAAAAACCAGAATAGTTGAATACTTATTAATTACACTGGATTTCTTGTTGATTTGCTAAGTACTGACATTGGTTTGAAACGGATCGGACAAAGTGGGAGCAGACCATTTTGATTTGCAAATTCTAAAAATCAATTTGCAATTAATTCACAAAATATTGACACCAGTTTGGAGTCCATTGAACTAGTTGGTAGGTCTAACTTCACAAACATTATTTTCATGGGATAATTGATCGATGAAAATGTCTCTTGTATAATCTTAAATGTTTTCATATTTAAACAATATTGAATACATAAATATAAATTTATTAAAGTTTTACAATTAGTTATAAATAAATATTTTGATATTTATTGTAAGAATACATAAAGAATGAATGTATTAATATTTATTTTAGTTATGCATAAAAAATGCATTTCTTATTATTCATTATATACTATTAAATATATTAAATAAATTCAATGTTTAAAAAAAAAAAATTAAAAAAAAATAATAACATCTTTTATTTGTAAACAGGTGTTAAAAAAATGTTTATATTTATCTAATAATTATTCAGACTTATCATTATATTTTTCACTTGCAATATTAATGTTATTAAATATTTTTCTAGCTGTTGATTCTGTTTCTGTATACCTTGTTAGTTTGAGTATTTCTTGTAAATGTATCTGCATTGTGTACATACATCTTAATCAATTCTTATAGGTATGTAACTAAAATTAGGTGTTACCTATTAATTTATAGTTAAGTTATTCATGGCCGTAACCTGTGGGTCCAAAAGCTCGGACCCCCTTGAAATTTATTAGCAGTTGTATTAAAAATAATTTTATATTTTTGTTAAAGGAGTAAACACGAAAATAAAGAATTTTAAATTTTTGAATGTAATAATGGTGTAACGATCTGGGTGGCTTGGTACCTACCGTAGTGATAATAGTAGATAAGTGGCTACCGGTACGTTAATGTGCAGGTCGCAGACACTTCATCTGATGTTGAAGTCGTGGTTGATGAATGAATAATAAAACAGTTATTGTATATTGTGAATTCTATTATAACACTCGATAATTTTACTAAGTCCAAAATATTGTTGTACAGAGTGGCGTGAAGGTGCTTGCACTAATGGGTGGTAGTACACGTCTGAATACAGGCCTATTCGGGCTCCCTTATATATGAAGTTCCCCGTGCCCCTCGCCTACAGATACGGTATCTTCGTTCTCACGGATGTGATTTGTGTGGTCATCATTCTAGCCCACGCATTTACGATTGACTGTATTCATAGGCGCAAATTGACTAAATTTTTTGGGGGGACTCAAGCCCCCC